AATTTAATTTAAATTTAATAATGAAATAATTTATTTTTGGTTTAATAATATAACATTTTATAAGATAATAATTAAGTATTTTGTTAGAACTCAATGATTATCCTAATTATATTTTAGATTTTTTATATTTAAAATGAGATGCTTATCTGGTATTTGATTGTGTTTATCTGCAGTTAGTTACACGAATTCAGATATAGGATGAAATCGGATAGGGATGAACGGGTTTAAGAGTTTTTAAGAGTTTAAGAGTTTTAAGAGTTTTTAAGAGTTTAAGAGTTTTAAGAGTTTTTAAGAGTTTTAGCCAAATGCTTTATAATATAGTATAGATATATATATATATATATACTATATTATAAATCAGATTTATTAAAAGTTTTAAAAACAATTTTTAAATGTACAAAGTCTTAAAAACAACTTATAATGCATCAAGTACTACTAATTTATGAATTCAGTCTTAAAATTTCTTAATCTACAATTAAAATAACATATAATACAAGTTACCAATGCACATTATTACTTTTTCTTTTCATATTTTCAAGATACTTTTGACATATTTTATTCATGTCCTCACCCTCTCATACCTCTATGTCTTCTCCCCATCCTCCAAGGTGAGATTCAAATTGATATTCACCATGAGTTATTAAAAGTTCTCTCATTCATCTCCCATTCAATTGCTCTAGAACTTTCGGTCTCGCTCTTGATCTCTTGATTCTTTACTCTTGGTGTAAATCGGACACATTTGTGGAGTCGTTTAAATATGTTGGATTTTAAATATATTGGATTTTAAACTGTCATACAATTTTTTTCATCGACAGACTGTAATTAAAACCATAACTTTTATTTATTTAAATTGTATTAATATGTAAATGTAACTTGTATAATCGTTAAATCTTCTCTAATAAAACTAGTGAAACTTCAAAATCGTTAAAATTTATGGCTCCCGCCGCATTATACGGATACACAACTTTTAATTTATTAGATTTTAATATTAATATTTAAGTTTGTTTCAATCTATTTAAAGGCACTATTACGATTACTATAGATTAACTAGATGAACAATACTAAAACAAAATATAAAAGTTTATATAAAATATTATATATATATTAAAAGTTGTATACATTAAAACACAAAAATTCTTAGAAAGAATAATGTAAGATATAAAATTCACTTTTTCTGACAAGTTTTTCAAAAGGCGGAACTAGAAATTTTCAAATCGGTTAAAAATGTAAAAAGTTCAAAATATTATAATGGTATTAAATATTGCGACATATATCTATACTATATTATAAATCATTTGACAAAAACTCTTAAAAACCATTTTTTATGCATTAAGTATTGTATATTGATATATATTACTTGAAATTCAAAATTACAAGTAAATTATGCATAAGTACAGCTTATTAAAACTCTATGTTTGAATTCGTGTAACTAACTGCAGATAAACATAATCAAATAAAGGATAAACATCTCATTTTAAAGTATAAAAAATCTAAAACATCGAGTTATAACAAAATAATTAATTGTTATTTTTATAAGAAAATTATATTATTAAATCAAATATAAATTACTTCGTTATTGAACCTAAATTAAATTATAATAAAAAAATTGAAGTAAAAAATTACACAAAAAATATGAATTTTAAATAGTTAATTTGATACTAATATCGATATATTTTTGTCAAAATTTTATGATATTTTCAAGTTTATATTTTATTCAAAAATCACATAAGACCATACTATAACATCGACTGAAATATATAATAAAATGAAATACTAAAATCAAAATGTATCTCGCTATATTGTGCGAGTACCCTTTTAGTAACTAAATAAAAGATAAAACATTTATAATTAATCACTAAAAATTTAAACGTCATGATTTATATCTCAAATTCATGAAACACTCCGAACGTATTTAATTTGTGATGTTGGATAACCAACACATAGGCGGACCTACATAGGTGCCATGGGTGGCACGTGCCACCGTATCGTTTCTCCGTCGAAGGGTAAAAAATTTAGGTTTCGTGAACGGTGCAACCGTATTAATTTGTTGTGTGTCACCGTATGTATTTTGAAACTACAATGAGAACAATTTTTATTTGGTAGAATTGGTTTTCAAGGCTTTTATTCTACCCCACCTAAGTCCGAATCATGTTAGTGTCATTTTCTTAGTCAAACGGTGACACCGTTTGAAAAAGTTATATATATTTGTTTTTTATAGTCAAACGGTGTCATCGTTTAAAAAAAAATTTCCTATATATTTTTTATGGTCAAATGGTACCACCGTTTAAAAAAAATTCTGGGTCCGTCTTAAAACCAACATTACAACTATATCAAGATTGTTGCATACATTAATTAATTTTGTTTTCATGTTGATAATTAATACGACAAATAATGAAAGCAAATTACTTGCCACCATTGGTCGAACCAACCAAAGGTACAAGTCCAGAGGCATGATGTACAAAAGATTGAAGCAGAGGATACAACTACTTCCATGGCCTAATAGAAAGAACGATAATGGCGATGACGATGAACAACAAAAGAATCCCAAAACAAGTCCATTTTCTGGTGTTCTTTTGAGTTTTTCTTGCCACCTGCAACTGCTGTGCACCACCTCTTACGAACGAGCTTGCCCTGTTAACATGGCTCTCGATGTCGTTCAGTTGTTCTCCTTGGCTCTCCACCAGTACCGCCATATCCATGAAAACTTGATGCAGTTCTCTCAGATGTCTCTCTATCACTGTTACAGCATCATGCCGTTCTTGGATTTCTAGTATTGTTTCCATCACCTGCCCTCTTCCTTGCTCCTTGATTGCTTTCTGTAAAAACCTCTCGCTTTCTCCGGTTGAGATCAGGGTATCTACTGTAGTCTCATCGGCCTTTTCTCCAGTGACGGTATAGTACCTCCGTTCAACGGTTTCTCGATGCTCAGCCGCCATTTTCTGGCGGAGTTCGGTGAAGGACTTCATTGACGATTGGAGTTGTTTCCGTAGACCGTTGAGGATGGAGATTCGTGTACGGTCGGTGGAGCTTCCTGGGCCGCAGCCAGGGAGGTTGCGATTGGCTTCGCTCAAACGGTCTAGGGCTTCTAGATGGTTCTTGATGAGTTTGGCCTTTTCGAGAGATAAAGCGACGTCGTTGTCCATCTTGGTCCGGAGGTTTTTGATCGATTTTGCATTGTATAAGGTTTTGCTCTGTTCATTTGATTCTTGCAGTTGATTATGAAGATCTTCAAGACCCTTTAGCTCTTCTTTGATCTCCTCTACGTCTTTGAAAAACTTGTCAAGATTTACACCGTCGGCTGCGGCGGTGTTCGCCATCTCGATATCGGCAACACGGCCGCCGGAAAAAGATCGGGAGAGTAGGTCGTTCATTTCAATGGGTTCCAAAATATGCAAAATTAGATAGAAATCAAAGAGGTTGAAACCCTAAGATTGATGGAAAGAAGATAAATGAGTGAAATTGGGTTGTAAAATGAGATTTTATAAGATTAAAATGTTGACAGATCGGTGGCCGGAAACAGGGAAAGAGGTAGACCAAGTCTATGCTGATGGCGGGAGGGAGTTATGTGGCCAAATGTCAACTTTCAAAACTTGTGTGTGTTAATTGTTAATTAATATTAAAAACCACCGGCAAACTAAGTAAAATTATTTAGGGGCTTGAAATGTAATATTCAAATAGTTGAGGGATATATCAAGTAAAATTATATCTACAAAATGGTGTAAAGGGGTATTGGTTAAGAAAGAATACACTTAGAACGTGTGAAATGTGTTAATGACTCAAAGGAAAGATATTGGAAGGTAGTCTACTTTTCCAAAAAGGTAACATTGGTTGGTTTAGTATTTAAGTAATCTTATAAAACGGAATCGGAATCGGAATCGGAATCAAATATATATTTGTTACGTACGTAGAAGTAAATCTTTTATGTAGAATGAAAGATAAAAGTCCGACCAAAATCAAGGGCGATGATGATGGCATAGGGATTTGGTCATTTTTTAAATCTAGTTTTTCTGATCCTCGAATACTCATTTTAGAATTAAACTGATTACATAAAATCTTTAGTCTCGGTTTTTCCGGCATTTAACCCCTTCAAATAATCGCAACATATCCATCTCAAGTAGCGTTTCTACAACATATCCATCTCGATTAGCTTTATTGTTTCTTGCGTTTACCTCTGTTGGTAAAGGGTGAGGTGATTTTGCTCAAATGCAAGACAAATCCTGGATTCAGTCTCAGATCCTCTACTAGCCTTTGTCGTTGAATGAGTCATCGCGTTAATGTCCCAGAAGACAAGTTTCGTGTAGGACTGATTGGGATCTTCGTTTATCCAAATATATTATTTATCGATGAATCATGATTTCAGTAGTTTTTATTTATTTATTAAATCTTTTAGGTGAAATGGCCGGCCCAATGAATTTGACGGGGCCTTATGATAATAGCCACATTGGCTATGTTGATAACAACTATTTCCTTCAAGAAACTAATAAAGTGAAACTAAAAATTATGCTTTCTTGGATTTAAATCTCAAGCTTATTAAATTTAAATAGTCAGCAAATTAGCTTATTTTTTAGCTTATTTCAAAAGTCTCGTTAAATAAAAGACCCTTTTATCATTTTGGCCGTTTTTTTGTCTTACTCATTAATGCACCTCGCCTCGCCCCGCCCCCTTCGAAAGGTTTCTCTTCCAGTTGTTCCCTGCTATCGTCCTCCTTTCCTTGTTCACCCAGTCTCTCCGTCCCGTCCCCCATATCTGGAGGTGTATATGGGGCGAGTCAACTCGAATAGTAAGTTATTCGAACTCGGCTTGAAATAATACCAGGCTCGAGCTCGAATAACTTTTCAAAGTAAGGTTCCAGCTCGAGTTCAAATATTTTTTGAATAACCAAGCTCGAGTTCGATTAACTCGTATATTGGCTTGGGCTCTATCATTTGTATATTTTTTATTGTATGATTTTGTGAACATATGAGCTTGCTTGGCTTGAATAAGTGTATGCTCGAATGATTCAGTTCGAAAAATTTAATCGATTTTTTGAACGAGCTTAGTCGAAGATTGGTGTTATAAAGCTCGACTTGTTAAGTTAGCGAGTTTTAATGTTGTTCAATATCGATTCGAGCTCGAGTAGCTTGTTAAAATCTCGAATTACTTCCACCCCTACTCATACCCTTCTTTATTTTCGTTCAAATTAACCATCTAGGGTCGTTCGAGTGCATCCCACCATCCTCCTTCAATCCGCTTCTTTTACCACCTTCAGACGCTACCATTCAACTCAATTCTCATTGGGTAGCACCATAAATCGAACTTACGGCAATTTAACTAACCGTGTTTGCTCAAGAGACTACTTTCAAAGGAAAATGCAAATTGTAGTGACCATTTTTATACTTACTAAAGTTGAAGAACGACTTTACTAGTTTTGTATAAGCAACAAACACCAACATCATAGTTTTACAATTTACTTGTATCAATTGGTAGTGTTAGCTGTTGATAATGGTATACTCGTCATATGTTATGTTTTAACCCATTTGATAAAAATACGAGTAAAGAAAAAGTTACCCGTTTATTCATTACCCGATATTTTAATGGATAGGATATCAATAAACCATTTTTTTCATTATATGTTACTCGTTATACGTGCACACACAATATATATATATATATATAGGAGCGTTCAAATGAAAACTTGACCCATTTGTGTAAACCGTGTAAACTAATCTCATCCGTCCATTTTCTTGATCAATGRCCTAGATTATATTATTTTATTTTAGGAAATTAAAAATTAAAAAATAATTAATATTCATTTTATTTAAGAAAAAAGGGTAGAATCGGTATTCATATCAAAAGCCCTC